TCTTATAACTACCTCTTGTAACTTGTGGCACATAGAGTGAATGGGCTGGGGAGGCAAAAGTGTGATTTGGCTGGTCCTTTCTGTTATTTTAGTGATATATCAAATCGGAGCTCAGAGACTCACAAAATACAGAGTGGGAGATGCTTTGTCTGAGCTATGACACCTGTCACCCAGAACAAGTGTGCAGCAAGTCTGGCTGGAGTGAATCTGATCACCGTGAACTAAGCTCCATGTACATTTTATAGTTTACATGTCTGCGAGTCAGCTAGGGTCCACTTGGGTCTGACTTACATAAATTTTGTCTTTAGAAATTGAGCAATGGTCTCTGAACCTGCCAGTGTTTCTGTGACCGCAGAGAATTTAGATTATAATGCACCAACTATACACGGTACTTAAAGCAGACTTCAACTGCCTATATTAGTAACAAGTACCCCTGCTTTGTGTCACCACCTGTGCGTGACCTCAACAGAGTATAATCCCTGCTTAACAGTCATTATGGCAGAAAACAAGTTGCGAAGGAAAAATAGTAATTGTTATAGCAGTACAGGAAACAGTATTCAACAAAGGAGGAAGCCATAGCAATGGAGAAGGACAAATGAAGACAAATAAATGTGAAAAAAGGAAACAAAAATGAGTGGAAATGCACAAAAAGCATGATCAATGACTGTAGTAAGGACTTCTATTACTTTCGAATATCTTTTAAAATCTATTTCACTACAAAGAAGCTCTGACTTGTGTCCTCTCTGCAGCAGGGGCTAAGCTATAGCTTCAACAAGTACATAAATAATAAGCAGCTCAAAACATATTTGTAACACTGCCCCTAAACAAAGCTTTAACATATAGATGTAAATCTAAACAATACATAATGCCAATTCAATATCAGTCAGTTTTCAGATAACAGTGTGTTAGTGTTGCTGTAACCTCTTTCTTTTCTTGCTATACTACAAAATAAAGGCAGAAAATTAAGCAGAATCTGTCATTTTCAGCCATGGAAGCTTCTTATTAAATAGAGCTCATTGTTATTTAGAGAAAGGACTTGTTATGTGCAGCCTCAGTTTGCGGGTGGGGGTTACAGTGTTACTTTGTGTGTGTTAGAAGCTCCTGTTTGTCTCAAAAGGAAGTCAGGTGGGGACAGGAATTAGGCCGGCCGAGTCCCTGTCCCCTGCAGGTAGCTCACTGCTTATTAGTACGACATGCAGGAGAGCGCTTACATGCACTGCTGCTGGCTAGCTAACTCTGTAAAGCTTCATATCTGAAACACAAGGCCTGGCATCATCCAACAGAGTGTGAAGTCAGTGTACAACAGCAAAAAAGTGGTCAAAAAAAATTAAATCTGTAACCAGGATGTTTGTCAGTCTCTTATTATATCAGGATTCTCCTTCTGAATGTAATGTCACAAAATCATACTGTTCCTTGATCGACCCTAGATTTCAGGGGAGCGCAAAAGGAAGTGTATATATGTGGTGGATATATCGTCATCATGATGTACGGAGAAACTCAAGCATACAAGTGAAGTGAAAGTGAAGATCTTTATCATTTTAAACATTTTGAGGTTTGGGTGTTTATTAGCAGCAATTTCCTCGCTGACATCATTACTGTTCTGCTGGAGCAAATGCTGAATTATCATGTTCTGATAGGTCACTTGCCAAAGTTTGCAGTGTTAAAAGGTGAACTAAACCAAAGTGGATGACACTAAATTTAGTAACTGACAGCAAAATTGAACAAATATTGTATTAAACGTCAACACACTTCAGGATTCACATAAAAAGAGCTGGCCATCCACAAATTAAAGAGCTGCTGCTCTTCCACTAGTCTGCATATCCAAGGCATGGAATAAAGTCTTGCATGGATGGATTATAGTAGAAACGATAGATGTTTTGAGTACCCAAAGTAGAAAAGAACTATGTAAGTACTGGCAATATCTTTACCTTTAAAGCAGCAGCATGATGGGACATGGTGCGGCCGACCCTCTTGTCGCTGCTGTACTGCTGGATGTCAGCGATCCACTCCTCACACTGAGACATGATCTCTGTTCTCTTCAGGTAGAAGTGTTTATGGATCACCTGCAAACACACAACAACACCATTTATTCAGAAGAGAATAAACTTTATTATGAAACTGTGGCGGGGCGTGGTTCACGATGCTGCTGCAGGTGCGACTGACTCACCTGCGCGGCATCTGCAATCACGCCCCGCTGGCTTAAGTTTGGAGTTTTGGTGAATGTGGTCGAGGTTGTTATGTTGAGCGGCCAGCGGGAGAGCTGCAGCTCTGTGTGTGTGTGTGTGTGTGTGTGTGTGTGTGTGTGTGTGTGTGTGTGTGTGTGTACAGCAACCAGTGAAATAAAAACAATCAAAACGTCACTGGGTCTGCCGTGTGTGTTTACAGAAACATTAAAAACATTTAGCACATTAAGAAATAAAAACAAACAAACAAATAAGACTCCAACCTACTGATACCTGGGTTTTAACACATAACTGAAACAACGCATTCTTCCACAAACGAGGCACACTCTAGTCTCAAGAGTCAGGCTGATATTATTTGTGCAACACGGCTTGATGTCAGCCATCTACACACAAGTCTCCTGCTTCCCTGCCCCTACAGTCAACTTCCTAGCAACAGTCGCCATGGCTGTGCTATCAGTATGCAGGGAGTGTGGTGCTAGATGTGTCTGTAGCTGCTATTTGTTGCTATTGGAGGGAGGGGATGAGTTATCATGGTGGCTGCTGATTTGCTGTTTATTAGAGACAAAAAGCAGAACAGGCAGCAGAGGGGGTTTAGGGAACGCTTTAATCCATCTTTTCTTTCTACAACTCCCTCCTCTCTTCATCTCAATTCCATCTTTTCCGCTCAAGTGGTATAACTTAAGTATTTCTTCTCTTATCTGTTTTAGGCAAACCAAATACCAAATGTCAAGGATAATGTTGGAAAATGTATATATTCCATATAGATACAATTTCTAATCAACTACTTTCTAATAGTACTTCACCCTATTTTTGATGCAGATAATGTACTTTGCCATAATTTAGTGATTCTTTTTAAAATTGTAAAATGTAAATTTAACATGCTGTAATATTATACATCTACACAAGCATACTTCACAGGCATTCTCTTTGTCCTCAACAGACACACATCAATGTTTTAACATCCAACCCCATGTTAACTACACCTGACAACCTGCTGCTCCATAATTCAAGCATGTACTCTATAAATAGGAAGTCACAACACTGGACTCTCAAACATTCTTGTACCAAAAATCAAATATTACCTTTGCCATTAGAGCTTTTACATTTACACAGCTCAACAAAATTGGTGGTAGGAGAGTGACGACAGTACTCCCTCCAAAACCACAATATGCAGATTTTTACTGGTTTACTGGTTATGTGGTGAATGAGATGCTATCAATATGAACTCCATGCAAATAAACACTGCACAAGCTTTAAATATTCAAGACATTTGTAGATGGGGGATTATAGTTTTCTCACAAGGTCACAAAAAAACATTTCCCATTGAATATGTTCAAATGATTCTTATTGTATGGAAGGCAGCCGTCTCACCCAGCATTCACTGTCTTTATTGGCTAACTGACTAAAATGTCATCAAAGTGTCACCTTCCTATGTCAGGAATCTGGTGCTGAAGGTTATCCCGTACGAGAAATGACATGTTGTACTTAGGCAAGTTAGAGACGCGACAGAATCTGTCTCAAGACAGATCAGCTGAGCTGCAGCTGAGACCACCGTGTCAGAATACACTACTGCATCTTCAGCACCAAAGAGGAATTTTACAAGGTCGCTAGTCAATGACTGACACGAGTCTCGCTCTTCAATTCAGATATGGTTGTCCTCTTTTCACATAAATGGACTCGACTCCCTGCTCAAATGAGCATTCCTCCCTGTTCAGAATGTGCACATCATCACTGAAACAATGACCACTGGCCTGTAAGGTGTAAACAGATTATGTTTACACGCTTGCCTGGTGAGGTAGCTCATCTGAGTTGTGCCACCTGCTTAGCCAGAGGTTGTTTGGTTCCTGCATGTTTAATTCACTATATTACTTTGTGCTGGAGCACCAGATCCTTGGGTTGGACTAAAGTTTGGTGATGTGTGCTTTAGGGTTTAAAAGCCACAGAGATGTGTTTTGAGGAGGAAAAAAAAGACATCCCAATATTCCTGACACATAAGGGATTGCCAAGAGTCTTGGCTTAGGCAGTGGTTGTCGTTCTCCTGTCCTGAATTGCCTGGATTATTTTTAGGTATCGTCATTGCTGTGACAAAGGTGGAATAACAACCTTTACTCAGGGCTTTTTTGATAAGATATTCTTCTGTTACCCTGGGGATAGTGTTAACTCTGTGTTGTAGCATTCTGATTAATCCCAGTTTGTGCTTCAATGCATGAGAGTCAAACCTCCAGTCAACCAGCTGGAACACTCTGTGTGAATGTCTGCCTCAGCTGAGGACATGAAGGTGCTAAAAGGCCAGTGGTGAGAAAATCACATGGGAGTACCTCACCAAGCTTCATTAAATTTCCTTGCGCCTAACGTGTGTTATTGCTCAGCCGTGTGGCATTGTCAAGTCCTACTTATGTCTCCTCAATATCTTTTGCTTCAATACTCCATTTCATCTACTAGATGTCACAGATCCATCTTTTACATTTAATTTGAGCATTTACTTCTGTATAAAGGCCAGAGGGGTTTCTACTGTTTCGCCTTTAAATGTCACTAGAATATACAAGCAACACTGATTGTGGATAAATGCCAATTATGTCCTGCAACATAATTTCTTGATTTCCTGGGACTCTGCGAAGAACATGGAGAGGAAAGGCAGTTGGTCATAGTGATATACCTGTGCAGGAATGAAGAGGTCTAGGAACAAAAGGCAGAAGATTTTTTAAACCATACTGTTTAACAATTTTGGAGATTGAGAAGATACCTGCAGAATGGAGAAGAAGTATGATGAAGCTGACTTTCAAGAATGAGGGTGATGTGCAGAGTTGTAGTAACTAGAATGATAAAATTGATGAGCCATACCAAGAAGGTATGGGAAAGAGTTGGTGAAGCTAGGTTGAGAAGATAAGTAACAACTGGTGAGCAAAAGTATGGCTTCATGCAGAGAACACGTTAAACATGGTATTTGAGAGTTTTGATGGAGAAGTACAGAGGAGGTGGAAGTAAACAGAATGTCAGAAGGAGTTGCACCGAGTCTGTTGAAAGAATGCCAAGAGAGGAACTTGGGGATTACATCAGAGATGGGTCTCCTCTTGTTTGCAGTGATGATAAATGAGGTCTGCCTGACTCTCTGTGGACAATTATGTTTGCAGATGACATTGTGATCTGTAGTGGACATAGGGAGCAAGTGCAAGAGACCCTAGAGAAGAATGAAAGTCAGCAGAAACACAACAGAATACACTGTGAATAAGTGTCAGGTCTGTGAAGGTTCTCAGTCATCCAGGTCATCGTAGTCAAAGGAGCTTGCAAAGAAAAGCGTCTGGACTTCTTTAAGTTGCTTGAAGACGTTTCACCTCTCATCCGAGAAGCTTCTTCAGTTTTAAGGTCAAATGGTGGCGAGTCCCAGATTTCATCCCAGATGTCAGGGGTGATTTGTGAAAGGAGGACAGACTGTAGTGAGACCTACATGGTCTATGGCTTAGAAACCGTGGCACTAACAAAAAGACAGGAGGACAAGCTGGAGGTGGCAGAACTGAAGAGCCTAAGATTTCCATCTGGAGTGACCAGGATGTACAAGATTAAAGATGAGCATATCAGAGGCATATCAGGTTGAGTGTGTTGGAGACAAAGCCAAGGGTGAGATTATAGTGATGGTTTGGACATGTATAGACGAGAGACAGTGGATATACTGGACAAAGGATGTAGAAGACAGAGCTGCCAGCAGGAAGAAAAGACGAATGTATGGATTATTGTATGGTAGAGGGTTGATGTGACAGAGGATGTTGTCAGGGATAAAAATAAATAAATAAACATAACAACAACAACAAAAACATCATTGATTTTATACAGTACAGTTTTTTAAAACCAAGCTCTACTTATAAATGTGAAATCAGGCATGTTACTCACTATGATGGTTTAAGACAAATCTTTGGGCATGTTTGCTGGATGACTGTGTACATGAGCATTTCCATAGTCATAAGTGTTGCTTTATGTGAGTACAAGGTATTTTCTGTCATTTCTGGCCATTTGATAAAAAAAGATGAGTACTGGGTACTGGTACAGCTCACCCAGTTGAGAAGACGACTCATTTACTAAAATGCCGGTGAAGAGTCCCACGTTGGTCTTTTTGGCATGTCTTCTACTCTCTTTCCTGTGCACTCTCAAACTGAAACATGTTTTTCTTGTAGCAGATGTATTCTATGGTAATGTTACTCAAATTGGGGTTGAACGACTTTTTTTAAATTAAAATTCCAATACGACAAAAAGCTTTGTAAACCTGCACTGAGTCTATTAACAATGAGAAACTTCAAACCAGGGTGATGCTGACTCCACCAGATATGATGACACATGATGCCCCAGATAATTAACATTAATTTAGCAAGTTAGTCAAACCAATCAGTGGTGGTTGTTATGCCTACTGCATACTGATTAGTGGTGTAATATTCATCTAGAGGTTCTGCCAGATTAAGCCATTACAATCCAAATAGCCTTAAGTTGTAGGATGGTAATAAAACCCTCCAACACTAAGCTTGTACTTAAAACCTACACTCTGAAGATGGAACACATCTTTTATGGAAGAAACATATGGAATAAACTACTTGGTTAGAAAGCTTTAGCTCGTGCATGTTGTTAAGAAATGCCTGAAAATCTATTTTTTTTTTATTGTTATAAATTCTAATGATAAAAGAAGAAGAAAGAACAACGTCAAAAGAATATTAGGCAATTGGAAGCATATTGGAAACACCTGAATGAAAATGACAAGGAACATATGATGGATACAATCTCAATAAATCCAACTGATGGCAGTATAAATTATTTGAGATGTTGAATTTGAAGATGAAGTATTTCTGCCAGAGAAATGGGTAGTGTGTCCCAAAGCTTGCCACTTCTATACAATTTTTTTGGCACCTGGCAAGTGTGACTTCACACACAGTGACACTCTTGACAGAGCGGAGGGCACCAGGGATGGATGGAATTGGTCTACTGTGTGGTATGTAATTTTTGTATGATGCATTAACAGGCAGAATGTGTGATTTCTCAACTCATACTGCTCAGGTTAATGGACCCGCCAAACAATGAATAAACACCAAGCCTCTGGTCTGTCCAATGATGTCCAATTATCCTGAACATTTACCAAAGGAGAGAAATGCATCTTTAAAGCTGAAAGCTCATTGCTAGCTTTAATCATTCTTACTAGAAGGACATTCAGAGGATGTCCTTTTAACATCAACAACAAAATGTAATGTGTTCTCTCTTCATCATGCTCTGCCTCTGTAAACCATTTAGTGAAATTGGTCCAGGTATTTTTTTAAAAACAAATTCAACTGGAGACAATTTGGTTTTTACTCGAATGAAGAAATTCTGAATATGTTTAATGCATTTTTTGTATGAATTTCCAACTTGAATATACAGGTCAGGGACATTTCTAACAGTTTTCATTCTTTATAAAGCAGAAAAAAGCACAAACATCATTTCTGAATTTCTTTTATTTCTTCTCCTGAGACGGGAAAATAAAACAGGATTCCAACCCTAGCATTCTGAACAGATTGTTCATTATCAGTATCGTTATGTCCATCCCATTCATGACTAACATTTACTCCACATTTCCTCAAGCAAGAAATTTGTATGTTAGTAAAGTATAAGGTAAAATGTGTGGTCGCCTGCCATATATTTATTTAGATTTGTTCCATGTAGTCTGTTTTTCTCATGTAGTGTCATCATGATGATGGGATTTTTTCCCTTTTCTCCCTCTGTTCATTTCTCCCTTTCTCATTTTCATCTCTAAAGCACTCCTCTTCCTTCATTTTGCTTCCCTGACATTTCTGAATGAGCCTGCTTTGGATGAGCAGGTTGAAAGATTGTTATCTTCCCCTGCACTATCCATCTCACCACAGGCCATTTAAAACATCGCAAGGAAATCAAAAAACTGTGAGGGGGGGGGGGGAGAGGCAGGCCCACCTCCAGATGCTGCGATCCACCAAGAAATTCTTGTGAAAGGAATTTATTTACTTATTTGTTTTTAAATGGCTCTTGGGGAAGAGAGGTGGGTTTTGTTTTCGGTTTTCAAATGTGATGCTGAGAGGCATGTAACCAATCTACTATGAGGATGAATCATCCAAAATGTTGTATTGACGACGGAAGCATAAAGGAAAAATAAGATTTAGTATAAAAATACATAATAATAAATAGAAGCACGAGATCAAAAAGTAAATTAAGCTGTCTGGGTTAAAGTAGTTGCTCAGTACCTTGATGTGAATACCAGGGTTAATACTCAAAATGAGTCCAAGTCTACAAATGTTAAGGGGCCTGGATTTGAGAAGAAATCTTTGGATCTGGTGTCAGCCAGCAGTTTTCACGTTATTCAATATTAGCGGCTAGAACTGGGTTCAGGTTAGAGTTAGGTTTTGAGAATTAGTTGTTATTTTTAGCTTGGTGTTAAAAACAAGAAAACATGATAACTGGTCATCCACACAACATCAAAGTCGACACTCACCTGGGTCCAGTTTTGGTGTCGTTTTCCACCAGAAGGATATATATATATATATTTTTTTAAAAAGCAAATTGAAGAACAAGGTTTAAGTCTAAAAAACAATGGTCCCTACCTCTTTAAAGCATGGAGAGGGGTTGCGCATTTGCTCCAGCATGGCCCACTTGACAGTGGCCTGTCGGATGTTGCCATCGTATTCCCGAGAGCTCTGGGTGCCACTGGGAGTTCCTCTAGATCGTTCATACCCTGGCTCATTGAAGTAAGGCTCAGCCACCAGGATAAGGGACTGCACTGACACTAGCACCTGGTTTGCAAATTAAAGGAAATATGAGAAAAAATGGAACATGTGATTCAGGATTTCAATTGCAGGCATTATTATCATTATTATGATTGTCATTATCATTATAATTTTTATTATTATTAATAATAATAATAATAATAACAACAAATAATAACAATAATAATAGCTTAGTGCAGCTTCCAGATAAGCTAGGAAGAAAAAACATAAAAAACCAGAAACACATTTTAAGATTTACAACCAAGTTAGGTATAATCCTGATACACTGACAAAATGAGCCTGAAATCCCCTCAGTGTCCTCAACATATGAATTGATCTTGGCAATGGTGGACACTTAAGAGTCTGACAAAAGCAAGGGATGTTTTGGCCCCATAAAAATACAGCCTTCAATATATCTTTATTAACAGCTCCATTAATGCCTCGGCCTGTCTCAAGGAGACTAAGGACGTCTTCCTGCATTGCTCTGTCTGTTCCAAGCCACTACATAACCAACAATGACGATGTTGTGATTGGAGGCCTGCCTGCTGGCCTGAGCCACTGTGGAGCTGGATGAACTTGAAAATGCTCCATCAAGTTGATACCAATGACCTTCAATTGATACAGTCTGCTCCTCTTAAACTGGGCTGCCTAATTTCAGAGCCAAAATCCACTCCAAATGATGACCACTTTATTCTAGCCAACTCCGGTCTCCTTTTCAACATATTTTCCAATATTGATCACACATTATAATCAAAAGACATCCATTCATTGATTCATTCTCTTCTACTTATCTTTGTCTCAGTCAAATAATGATCTGAGGGATGTGTTAACATGTCATGTTTAGGGACATATGTATTTATCCATAGACAATGTAGCAGACTGAATTTAACACAAGAAATTAGCAAATTTATCTAGGAACGGAGTAAGATAATTATTTGGTAAGATATCTTGAAATAAACAAAATCTAGGCTTCAGCAAAGTCCAGACAACTGTACTGAGCTAAATAAACTCTAAATTAGCTTCGTAGCTGTTCTTCTTTTAATGTTTTCTTCATTAATTTGAATGAAACCTGTCCCACTTAAAAATAGTTTCTCTCAAGTTTCTCTTTGTTCACAGTTATTGACATGTCGAAGAGGTTAACACGTGAGGAGTGGATCGAAATTGTGTTGATATCTGGTGAACGCAGTAACCCGGGTCATTGCAGCAGATTTCAATGCAAGACACCCTACGAGACCGCCCATCTCCCATGCTACAGTTAGCAAACTGCTTGCTAAGTTTCGTGAAACTGGTTCAGTGTTGGATTTGCCAAAATGTGGACGCAAGAAAACTGTCACTAATGAAGAAACATCAGTGGCTGTCCTAGCTTCATTCAGCAAGAGCCCACAGCGTAGCACTCGCCGCATGTCACTGGAGAGTGGCATTACTCGAACATCGCTTCGGCGGATATTAGCTACTCACAAATGGCACCCTTACAAACTCCAGCTACTGCAGCATCTCAACGAGGATGACCCAGATCGGCGCACAGAATTTGCAGAATGGGCAAAATAAAAATTGGAACAGGACCCTCAGTTCACGAAAAATATTTTGTTCAGTGATGAGGCAAACTTTTATGTGAATGGTGAAGTTAACAAACAAAACCACCGCTATTGGTCTGACACTAACCCACATTGGATGGATCCCTCCAAGACTGTTGGAACAACAAAAGTGATGGTGTGGTTTGGTATATGGGGTACAATAATAGTGGGTCCATTCTTCATCAATGGAAACCTCAAGGCCACTGGATATTTGAAATTGCTACATGATGATTTGTTTCCCTCTTTATGCACTGAAGCTGGCACGTTCCCTGAGTTTTTCCAGCAAGATGGTGCACCACCACATTATGGGTGCCAGGTCTGAGCATTCCTAGATGAACAGTTTCCTGGAAAGTGGATTGGTCGTCGTGGGCCAGTTGAATGTCCCCCAAGGTCTCCCGATCTGACCCCCTTAGACTTTTATCTTTGGGGTCATCTGAAGGCAACTGTCTATGGTGTGAAGATACGAGATGTGCAGCACCTGAAACTACGGATACTGGATGCCTGTGCTGGCATTTCTCCTGCGGTGTTGCTATCAGTGTGTGAAGAGTGGGAGAAGAGGGTTGCATTGACAATCCAACGCAATGGGCAGCACATTGAACACGAGTGACAAGTGGTCAGAAACGTGTAAATAACTCATGAAAGAATAAAGTTACGTTGAAACCAAGCACACCATTGTTTTTCTTGTGACATTACCAATAAGTTTGATGTGTCACATGGCCCTCTTCCTATTGAAAAAACAAAGGTTGTATCCAAGATGGCCGACTTCTAAATGGCCACCATGGTCATCACCCATCTTGAGGAGTTTGCCTCCTCACATAATGTGCCACAAACAAGACTTTAATATCACCAACCATTCCCATTTTATTACGGTGTATCCATATAAATGGCCCACCCTGTACAATGAGATTCAAGTCCAAATATGTTTTTCCTAAATAGAAACTAATGGTTCCAATTGAGAAATATTAATTTTATAAATTTTGGGACACTGATGGCAAACAATATACAGTTAAAGAAAAGTGAAAAATGTTTAATGATACATCACTAGGAGGGCTAATAATAACTATGCTAGGTTTGAGACTTAAAATAAGTCTTTATGTGGATTACTTATCATTGTATTTTCTTGAATAACAGCTTTAAAACACACTTTGTTTCAATACAGATTTATATGGACCCCATATATAGTCGTATGTATACATGACCCCCTGTAAAAACCCCTGAGCACATACGTTTTTGTTTCTTGCGGTGATCACACTGTTCTTAGTTGCTAAAGTTCAGCTTGTGGAACACTTCTGCGCTTGTCAATGCCAGTTCTCTCAGAGAGACCAGTAAAAGGGCATTGGATGACACCACTGGCAGGAAAATTTTCAATAATCAGTGTGGTACCATACCATTTTAATTTTCAGATTTATTACTGCTCTGTGAACTTGATGCTGAAAGAGGAGTACTGGAAACAATACTGTCACTGGTATATGCACACACATGAAAGAAACACCAGTAAATTCTTCTAGCAAGCAAACACATCAAGAAATAAAGACATGCAGACATCACCCTTTATTGCTAATCCTATTTCAAAATGAATGATATCGAATTTTCAGTTCATCTACATCTGATTTTAGAGAGGCATCTTTATGTCTACATCCAAAGAAAAGTTTAACAAAAAGGGGAAAAAAAGAAATAAAATTAAGATTAGAAACATTTCAGATTAAGAGTCTACAAAATCAAGTCTAATGACAGATGGCATCTTGGGCATACATGCCAACTGATTGCAACTTCCAGATGAGTGATGTGTGTAAGCAGGCATAACCCAGAGGCTAAAATGATAGTGGTTTGTGTTTGGTTTATCAACACCCACACAGTCATAAAGAAAAATAATAACAGAACTTTAAAAAGAATCCTTCATGGTAGCTGTCAGAACCCCAGGGCCATTAATACAAGGTTCCTGGGGCTGTAATGAGAGGGGAGTAATAAACTATAGCCTATGACACAAAGACTGAGACAGAAGCCTGCTGATCCATTGATACAGGTGATTGTTATGATGGAAAACCATCTTACCTGTAAAAAGCTTGAGGTCTGTGGGTTCCATTTCTCTTCTGGTCTCCCGTGCCATGTGTTGAGGATACTTAAACAAACCTGATTAATAAAAGACAAACACAAAACATTATGTGCCAAAATCCATGTGTATTACCAATGTTAAACATACAATATTTAAATCCAGTAGATTTCTGTTACCCCTCTCTCAGACTTAATATAGGATGTGGGCAAATTGTCTGATCTATAGAGTGGTTCAGATATTCACTGAAGCTTGTTTCAGTGAACACACACACACATGTATGCAGCAAAGTGCTCAACCATCTGATCAGATTATCTGCACAGCTTGTTTCTTTTACTTACAGTACCAAAATTCTGAGAGCAGGAGAGTACTTTTTACTCCTCACAACTGTAGGTACCATAGGTAGCAAGTAGAGCTGTTAAAAAAATTGATACTCAGATACTAAGTTATTTTTAAAATTACTATCAGATTATACTCATTTGCAACAGTTGTGAGTCTTCACCACCTGTAGTTGACACTCAGTTGAATAAGCACTGCTGCAGACAGGCAGGCACACAGCCCCTCCTCACAGTAACAGTTTTTTGTACAAAAAAAATATCACAGCAAACTTGGTGAAGCATCTTAATGACAGAGGAAATTTTATAAACGTTACGTTAGTAAATTATTTGTTAGTGAATTGGTTGGCAGATTTTGCAATTAATACACATTTTAAAAAGAAGAAAAAAAATACATTTACTTTGCCATCATTGTAGAGGTTTGGGTTAAAGCGCACACTGTGGCCGCCAGTGGTCTCCAGGTTGACCAGAGGTGGTGAGTTGGGATAGTCTTGGGGAAAATAAACATCAAATTCGAAACAGCCATTGGCATATGGTGTGTCAGCTGGACCAGTGATGAGAACCTATGAAAACGAACAAAAGGGAAAGCTTAAATACAACAAAGCTTAGTTATCAGCTTAGTCATTATCACACTGAAAGAGGGTTAATTGGAGAAAGGTGAATGTACTGATAAAAGTAAATTTAGATTTTAACAAAAGTGCAAATGGCAAAAGTTTTAATGGAGAAATGGCGCAGACACAGCTAATGCTGTTTCACAGCTGCAACAAAGTAATTACAACTCCTTGTCCAGGTCCAAGTCATAGGGGCTGTTGTCACACAACACAGTTAATAAACACAGACGAGGGCAGGGACATTGACTGACCAATAAATGAACAACAAGCTCTCTTTACCACAACAACAAGGATATTGGCTGATAACACTGACAAACAACGGGGACAACTAAGCAGTCACTATGCAATATACTGACAACAGTCGACATAGACCATTTGGCTGCTACATCTCATTAATGAGTATATTTCATTGCTCATTTATACATGCTCGAACAACATCGGAGATCTCTGTCCAGAAGAGCGCAGTCCTGGGAACAGCTAAGATACTGCGCAGGACCCTCAAACTCCCAGGCCTCTGGTAGAGGACCCGAGCTTGAAGGATAAACTAAGCTGGGTGTTGGGGGTGTGTGTGTGTGTGTCTATATATATATATATATATATATATATATATATATATATACTTATATGTATATATATATATATATATATAGACACACAGAGATACATACACACTCTTGTTTTATTCTGATTTCTTACTGTGCAACTTCTGTCAGTGTTCTGCTACTAGAAACTGAATTTCCCAGAGAAACCTACCCGAGGGATTAATAAAGTTCTATCTAAACAACATCACCGGCAAAAAGCAATGACATGACTCTCAGACCACTGAATCTTTTTCCCTTGTCTAAAGTTCACAAATTAAGTCCAAAAGTTTACAAACAGAATCGGCAACCAAGGGCACCTCTAGCAGTCTAAAACCCACTGGGTTAACGTCCTACTTAATACTGGCTACTTGAACAACACAAGTCACTACAGTAGTACGTATAGGGACCAAATAGTCTACAACAATGGGCCAGATAAAAGATTTAAATATTCTATTGAAATCAAGGACTTTCATGGACTTCAGAACAACTTTGATGACCTCAAGTCATCTTAGGAATGAATTTTCAACCTTGGCACATCTTTCTTTTATGAGTTTCTATGATTCCTCTTGGAAAATTATTCAACCTCACTATCAAGTGCTTGAATTAATGCCTCAATTAAAGGTAGGTGTATGGTGCTGCTGGACCAAGTCTGGACTAAGAACTTCTAAATACCTCTAGTGAACATATCCATGCAGGTGCATTGCATAAGAGATTCTATTCACATACTGAAGTGCTCACTGAATTTATATCGGGCATATTCTAGTCTTAAGTAAGGTAGACATGTTTTCTTTTCATAATGCGAACATCCTGACCCTTGTGCAAACGACCACATTGGTCTTGAGTAGTGTTAGGGGTTTTGTAACACTGAGATTATGTAGCAGCTACACTAAGATTCCTGGAGGGCACTGGGTGCCACTCATGCATTAAGGTTATTTTGACATGAACATTCAGGCACATCACTTTCATTGCACTTTCCACCAAAGTCAGTAAATCTGGTGTGGAAGCATTCTGAGACTGAAACTGACTGTGCCACCTGGAGAGTGCTGAATAAATGCAGTTGGCTGTTTGGTTATTAATTTAAGGATGTGGGGTGAGCTACTAGGATGTACTGACCCCTCACAGATCTTGATGTTTCCACCTCATCAGCCACTGTCCCTCTCTGCTCATGCTATTCCTTGGGCCATGCTATTATAGGGGGAAGTTAATTTTGGTAAATTCTGAACATGTTTGCATAACAGGGGCGTTAACTGAGGTCAAAGATATTTTCATACTTCAGTTTGTGATTACAGATAAGAATATACATCCATCCATTGCATTTCTTGACTAACCAATATCAATGTTGCACTGTTGTGTGCAGTGTTTTAATCATATGTCAGCTTTGTTGTTAGTATGCTGTGTCTTTATTTGGAATATTTTTCTGCCAAAATGGAGCTAAACAGATGAGAATTTTGACATTTAGCAAAGGAGACTTTGCCATTAATCAACTTGCGGCGTAAGACCCATTTATCAAATGTCACTAGGGGAATGACTAAGAGCTGCTGATGACAACTCATATGGCAGGAGCACCACAGAAAAACAGCACACAAAAATCTTGGGAGTGTTGATTCACTCACCCACTTCTCACACGAGTGGATTCTACTAAACCCATTCTCAATCAAAACAGTTACTACAACACACAATGTATCCTCTGTATTCTTATCATGCAGTGTGAAGTCATCGTAGCCTGCTATAAATCTGTAGCCCTAAGCCTAAAATAGCGGATGAGCTCTATTACCTTCATGATATCCAGCCTCTCCTCATCGCAGCGGACAAAGACACTCGAAGAAGCAGACAGAGGCAGAGAGGTGGACAGAGTGACAGCCTCTTGGGCAAGGCGGCGAGATCTGGCTGCGCTGTTTGTATCACTGGCGTTCTTCACCTGAGACATGTAGTGGTAGTTCACCTTGAACATCAGCTTTCCATCCTCATCTTCTGATACCATTTCAAAGGTGTCTGGACAGAGAACAGACACACAGGTCAGGATAAGTTCAGCGCATTACTGTGCTCAACCCCATTATAAACACAAGTGAAAATGGAGTTTTTTCTTTTATAAGCCATATTCAAACAGATAAAATGCGATCTAAATTCACGGTAATAATTAAAGCAATAAAGGGAGATGAAATACTGTTTGTGGTCGCGGTATGTTACCCGTTACAGGAAGATCGACCTGCTTTTCTGAGTTTATGATCCTCGTACTCCATTCCAGAATTAATCAGATCTTTTATATTTAGTGCATACTGCACACAACTTTTATTAACATCCTTATGTAACAGGTCTCTTGTTACTTTTTTACCACAAAAAACAAAACAAAAGCGTATAAGTTACTGAACAAGTGCAATATCTTTTATAGCTAAAATGCTACCAAAAAAGCTCAGATATTGCTGTATATTGTTTAAACAATATACTGCTTGAGTCACAACGTGAGAAACATTCAGATGAAACAGCCACCCTGTCTTGAGTTGTCTATTTCTATGCTGTCTGCATACCCAAACACTGTTTACAGTCAAGTCACTTACAATGACCTCAGACATCAACCTGCTTACAAAATCAATTGCAAGACAGCAAAAACAGTGTAATTAATCATGACATGGCTGAGTGGAGAGTGATGGACAAGACAAAAGAGATCAGCTGGATGGGAAAGTAGCCTGATTCTGCTTCCCTTTCAGAATACTGGTGTGAAGACATTAGTAAGCATGTCAGACATGAGATAGAACAAGAAGATTTATAGCAGAATAGTGTATCACGTTTTGTGTGTATATATTTACTGATTGATAGCAACTCACCAAACTGTAGTTTTTTCATGGCAGCTACATATTTTTCCTCCAGAGAGCGGAGTACGGACAGGGGCTTCGGCCGGCTTGACACCTTCCTTGAAGACTCCACTAGTTTCTTCTCTGATAAAGAAAAGGTTGAGAGTAGGGAGCAAAAATATCAAAGCCCAGAATAAGGAAAAAGACCTAGGAATGTGTGTGTTTTATGTTTAGGTGTTTCTCACTGTGCTCATCTTTACCAAAACCTCCCACATGCCCAACAAGTTTGTTATATACTGAGAGTTAATAATAAAAGTCAACTCTACCTCTCACTTATCACATCTGGTTTCAAAACACCAAGACGACAATGACAAATACTCAGCTAGAGGCTTCAAAATGGGATTTCAGAAACCAATGCAACTAAATCCATTTGGTGCACAGTTGTGTGTCTGACCAATGTAGCCAGGACCACTGAACAAAGGGATATTTTCTGTGCATCTAAGAGTCCCTTTAGAAATGGAGTGTTCTTTAACTCAAATGAAGACTGAGGAAGTGCAATATAAATTATGTCCTGCTACATTCACAAATGGAAATTGATGAGGTACAAGCTAAAACCAATACATTCAAATATAAAGGTTCTGTAATAAATTCTTGCTTCATTAAGGTTCTAGTCAATATTCAGTTTTAGTTTGAAGTGTTAAGTCAATTCAGTTTGGAGGCTTCAATTTTAGATGTTGCTGACCTACATTGCATTATATACAGTTATTCAGCCTTGTTTATTTAACTCAAGGCGCTATAAAGGGATGAGTTATTTCTGAGACTTTCGGATAAATAATGAATTTCAATCAGCATACATTACCGTCTATTAGTGTTACATTTAGTAACTATATTTTCTGAGATTAATGCATAATAATACTGTCTTCACCTAGCTACCAAGACATATAAGCAACAAGGCAATTAAATAGTATTGTGACAAAATATTTTACAATTCAGCGGTTGGCTCATAGTTGCTGGCCCACTGAGGTGATCTCAGCAGCTTTCACAAACACAGGAAAAATGATAGAAGTGATAAAACAAGAATGGGTCAAAGGCTATGCTCTCCATTTCCACTGCTGAGATTAAGTGTAAAAAGGAAATAGTGGCAACAGCAGCAATATAATTACAATATAAGACTCAATTTTTTTTTTGTCTGCCTACTCTATAGAGCAAAGGCACAGCTAATTGTCCTGGAAGATTTCAAAGACGAAGACCAACTCAATGGATGAATACGCAGATCTTTTACAGAATGTAAAAGATAATCTAGACAACCTATTCCACAGAAAATGTTGCCCTCTTACTTGAAAGATCTATGATTGGCCAATGTTTTCTGTGGAATAGATTATCTAAAGCTTTCAAATATAACCTAGAATTCAGGATTTCTGCAAGTGTGCTAACAGACATGAACCCTATAATTGCAATATGCTCAAAAGTAGGGATGCACCGATACCGATACTGGTATCGGGTCCGATACTGTAAAATGTGTGTGTACTCATACTCGTAAAAGTTAACAGATACCATGAACCGATACTAAATTATTTCATTAATCAGAGGGTGGCTTGTCATTTCTGTTGTAGTTTTTTAGATTGGCCACTAGGGGGCCAATTATTATTTTATTTATTATTTATTTTATAATTTTTTATATTTTATTATTTATTTAATAATAATTATTTTGTTTGTTTGTTTACAATATGGACACTGCAATAATTTAAAAGTTTATTTTATTCGCAAACCTAATTTGTATTTATTTTATTATTACAGAAGTGTTTATTTATTATTCTGAAAGTTTGAGACAATAGTTCAGTGATATTTTGTAAAATTACAATGTGGAGACTCTGCAATAATTTAACAGAAGTGCTTATTTTTCACTTGAAATTTTTTTGTGGTCATTTTTATTAAGATTTTATTTTTTATCGGCAGGAAATATAATAAAACCTGTCTTCCAATTAATTGTATTTGTGTGTGTGTGTGGTAGAAGTATCGTTTTTTGTACTCTGTATCAGCAAGTACTCAGATCCAAGTATCGGTATCGTATCGGTTTGAAAAAATTGGTATCGTTGCATCCCTACTCAAAAGTACTCTACTCCTCCACCATTAAATCAAATTCACAGTTTTTTCCTGCTCTCAAGCACATCAACAGTCATCAATTGCGAGACAATTATTTACAAGCTCGAGAAAGAATATTATACAATTTTTCCATAAAGATATGTTTAACAAACAGAACTGCAATTGAATCTTGGAGAAATACAAACTGTAGAGAGCAGTGGCTGATATCATTATCTGGCCTGTTCAGATAACTGAACACTTCAAAGGGACTTTTTCTTTTCTCAGTCAATATAATCAAAAAAGAGGAGGATGGTAACTCATGTCAGAGACATTTCTTAAAGCCTTTACACTAATTAAAAGATTATTCATGTATTGTGCACTAATGCTGCAAAGCTATACACTGGACAACTCTGCATAATTGGTAATCATAGAGCCCTTTGCCATATGAATTTCTTTACATGAAATGACAGAACATTAATCTTTATCTATAGCCCCCTACCTCACATGCACACTTTCATCAAGTCTAATAGCTAGCTCCCCACCTAAGTGCTCAGTTAGATGACCAATTTATGTAGACAGAGCATAAAAACTTAATGCAGGGAGTAGCAAGAAATGGATGGGCGGGGGAAACCTAATATTGTAATACTGTGAAGCAACACAGAAACAGGAAAGGTGTCATGCTTCATCATGACACAGACATTTTACTGATGGCGCTGCTACCTTAAGATGGCTAATGATTTGTCTCCCTTTATTTTTCGATGTCTTATACATGTTAGGTCATATGTACTTTGGCCTTTTCTATTCTTCAGTCTGAATCTTGTGTTACAATTTTAACTGACTGTTTATCTTTGTAGGGCTCATACGACATTTCAGAACCCACCTTGGAGGAGGGAGAAAAAAAAACAAAACATAGGCCAAGGAATGTGGAGCAAATTTAAACAAGACATCAGAACAAATTTCCCACGTGTGGGACTAATAAAGGTTATCTTATCTTAGTAGCATATAGTCCATCATCCACCACAAAAGCTACAGGGTAACATTAGCAGATTTAGATAACAGTGAATGTGACCTCCAGTTTCAGACAGTTTGGTCAAGTTCAAATTTTCAATAACAGTCCAATGGTGTCCTTGATTGAAATTAAATTGTCGGGCTGCAGTCAGTCATTTAGACTTTGATAAGCTAAAGACAATAGATCTCTACCTGCTAAAATCATTCAGCTCAAGTTGTGACACGGGGAATTTGGAGGGAGGGGCGTCTCAGAGCTTCACATTATTTTTAAAAAATATTTGATTTCAAAACTTGTTTTTATACAAATCTGGGTATGTGCTGTGTTCACTTAAATGACCTGAGAGCCTTCAAATTTAGAGCAAACAGTGCAGAGAACGAGAACTTGGCAAACACAGTTGTTTTTTTAGGTAATAAAGCCTCATGTTAGGCTGTGTATACATACCCTGGTTGGCCTGCCGTAGGTTTGTAGTAGCAGCGTAGACTATCTCAGCTGTCCTCTGGATGTCAGGCACCAGCAGAGTCAAACCCTCGGGCTCTGGGTCTGAGCTCTCTGATTTTGCCACACCTTTACTTTTATCTTTCTTTGACCTGGAACACACACAGATTGTGCTGTTTAATAACTTGTTTTTTTTTTTAGAAATTTTTCTGAAACAAAAGATGATTATATGGATGCACGTTTTATTGCTATAAATTATTATTATTGTTATTATTATTAAGATCTGTTGCCTGTTATTTAAATTATCCACTTCTCTGGGAATATAACCACGTCAGTAATCCAGATAACAATCCCCATCCCCAGTTCACACATTTTTACTTTGAAAGAAAATAAAATTGCTATATAAGATAACGTGTTTGTGTGGTGCTTCTCTTCCATGGCCACTCTTAGAACTTTGCTCTGCACATTTTAAAACAGTATCTTACATTCTGCCAAATATATGGGCCCAACAGCTGCTTTCATCAACACAGAATTGTGACTTAAAAATGAAGACAAGTCTCTAGGAAACACAGCTGACAGTTCAAGTGATCACCCTCAGTGCCTGGGTATTTTTCTTCAGTTTAAAAAAAAAATTAAAGTTCCTATTTTGTGTGTGGACCTGGAATGTGAGAACTGTGCGTGTATTATGTCCTATGGCCATCAAAATGATGGCAATGCAATAAAGGTCTGTCATTTTAAATGACATCTGTCCCTTAGGTTATATCACAGACATTCTCATTACACCTGACATGGATTCTAAACTCCTGTGGCTCAAAATCTTACCTACACCAACCACTATATGCCTTCAATAAGCTATCTCGCTCTCACTAACTTGTTATGAACTATAAGGTTTGCTGCCCCTTGGTATGTTAAATAAACTATGCTGGCAGCATGACAGCTACTGAAACATTCATGGCAGGCATTTTCTAAAAATACCTTCAAATGCATCATTCATAACAAGGCACTGTGACATGTATGTACACAGTGTGTGTGTGTGTCAATCTCACTACAGTATGTTGTCAAAAAGCTTACAGCAGCAGTGGTTGAGCTGAGCATGCTGGATATAATAAAAAATGCACATACATGCACAGGCAGTGTCCCTTTTGGGGTACATTTTAATGGTAAGTGTGAATACAGCTTGAGATATAAAGAGCCCATCTTCAGCAGTATTGTTTCTTAATGATAATGAAGAACTGGGATAGTAAGGTCTTGGCTACATCCAATATTCAACTTAAATTTGTGGTGACATAAAGGATCTGATTTTTGTAATCTAAAATGCAATGAAAAAGTCTTAAGACTTGGTACCAAAAAAACAAAACAAATAAACAAAAGAAGCCCATAAATGGTTTAAATAATTTAGATCACTTAAAAATTTAAAACCTTAAACTCATTAAAGCTTTCTATTAAGGTGAAAAGAGTTATTCCCATTTGATTTTATTTGTGTCACCTGAGGCGATTGGTGTATGTGTCCACGCATGTTTTCATCTTTGCCAGCAGCATCCCAACAGAGGTTTGGCCCTCAGCATGCTCTTCGTCCTCTTCTTCCTCATCCTGGCCTGGGTCTCCAGTCAGAGGCAGCAGCAGAGGAACCAGTGCCGTGCAGGTAGAAATGGCCCTCAGCAGCTCCAGTAGTGCTCGATAGAGGGGGACGTGGCGTGCCATATCTAGAACTGTAGAGACAACGTGGATACAGCGTTACATGTTTACTGGTAGATATAACCTAATCTAGGGTCACCATTCCCAACATCATGGTTCAGAAAACTGATTGCTGTGAAGTTGCTCACCATCTAACCACGTGTGTTCAGTGCTGCCACTATTGACATAATTCAATATTTCAGCAGAACTTATGAACAAAGTAGTGGAGTCCTTTCTGCAGCTTCCAGACACTTGTGAAGGCAAACTAATGACTAAAGACTTCTGCCCTGTAGCCTAAAGGAGATGGAGGTTTTCCAACAACATAACAAAGACTTAGTCCTATGTAATAGCTTTCCAGAATTTCAAATAAAAGCTGCAGTATTACACTTTGTTTTGTATAACAATTTAAAAAAAGTAGAATTTCACAAGAAAACATTAATTTCACAAGAAAACACTTATTATTGTAATAAGTGCATACCTCTGCTGAACAAAGAAAGAAGAAAAAGTCAGATGCTATGAGATTGCAGAGAATGTGGGTGTTGTAAGAACATGATCGATCAATACGACTTTGAGATGGCAAACTTGTGAAAAGTTGTAAAAAACCAAACCTTTATCAGCAGTGTCACAAGCTTTAAAGAGCAGGGCATGTGTCATAGAATAGGAAATAATGCCAAACCCTGAATACACCAGGAATATCACAAGTCTTTAAGATGAAAACAGTATCTGAGGTAGACACTGAGAGCTTGGTACTGAGCAGATATGATTTGTGTGTGTGTGTGTGTGTGTGTGTGTCAGTCAATCAGTGGTCTATCTCTGTCCTATCTAAAGTCACAAACCAAACCTGACAGCTCTTCAGACAGTGAGGTCTGAAATAACAGGATGTGGATGGCCCTGGAGCCTGAGTCAGCTAGAGACGTATGCTGAATGGAGGTTTGTGCTCAGCAGCACACACGTTGAGAAACGGTCTCTTTGCTTTCTCTGCTCTCTACATTTTCTTTTTCTATAATAATTATGAGATGTCATATCCCATCAACACAAACATTTTACGAGAAAGAAAGGTTATGTATATAACCCTGGCTCTCTGAGTAGCATGAGTGAGTGTCTCACTATGGGAACGCCTCCTGTGTGACCTCATCAGAAGCTCAAATGACATTACACCGGTTAAGTGACACTCATGTCAGGAGGGGCTAGTGCATCCCTATATAATAGGCTGACATAGCGTCAGATATCATTCAAAACAAGTCCACCTCTTCCTCACTTCCATATCAAGGAGGGTGGTCTAGTGAGACACTAACTCCCTCATGCCATTTAGAGAACAACAATGTGTGAGGTTTAGACACAGTCTTTCCCATATGTGGTTAAGAACAGGAAACAAACAGCTGGTCATTTTTTCTGACACTGGGTTCTGTCCATATAAATATGCAGAGCACAGACTAGACACAAGGTGTGCAGCTGCTGTTGCTCCTTTGAGGTGAAAGGTGGTGTGTAAAAGGTCGGCAGTTCTACAGGGGAACATGTGCTGACAACCTTTGGGATATAGGCGAGGTTGAGCCGCATATTGACCTAAGTATTATCTGAGGAGAACTGAATGCATGACTGATGCACACAGAGATCGTGGATTTCTCCTCCTAAATGCTTAGCCAAAGCTGAAACAATCAATAGAGCTGTCTTCAAGGACAGAAATTTTACCTAAACATCTTCCAGGGGTTCATATGGGAAACAGGATAACGCAGCTAATACTGTGAGAAGGTCCCACGATGGAGCCAGTGGCCTAGATTTAGGCAATTTACAGCGTGGACCCTTCATGAGACAGCATATTAAACAGTTTTCCCCTCAAAACCAATACGGCAGGCTGAAATTGCTGCCAAATACACTTTAATGGTGGAGAGGGCTTTACCCCTCTCAATCAGGGCCTGAAAAGGGATTGGCTGTCATTGTAAGCACCACTTTTCAAACACACGTCACTTGTGCTCATATAGCAGTAGATGATGAACACTAGAACACTGAATACTGTCAATAACACTATGAGGGAGCCCCACTGAGTTTATTAAACCACTCACATAGAGCTAGCCTCTCTGGGTTGGGGTGGAATACTTCCCCCTGGGCCGGAGACAGGAGGTCTCTGTGTAGTGGTAACAGCCAACACAGCAGCTGGAAATTCTCTGAAAGCTAGTGCTTCCCTGGCCAGTGTGGGGCTATCAGGATCATAGAGTGACCTATAGATAGGGAGTCTAGGCTGAGCCCTATCAAAGTAATGGTTGAGTTCTCCTCAATATGCTCTTTTTCACATTTATCTGGAAATCTAAACGCTCCAGATAATGTATAACAGCATCTGTGTGACAAGCCGCTTCCTGGCGGGTTGGGGCTTCTACCACCCAGTCGTTGATGTATGTGGCCATTGAGCAGGGCCATGCTGGTGTCCCATCACCTGAGACAGGGCCGACGGGCACGTCTGCATTCTGACAACGTTCTGCATTATGGCACACAGCATTGCTCTGTTTTTCAGCATGTTTGATTTTTTCCAAGTGTTTTACAACACTTGACAGCGCCTTAGGGGAACTACCCGGATGTGCATGTCTGGAATTTTTTTTTTTTTTTTTTTTAAATACAGAACACATGAGAGAAGTGCTTGTGAAACAACACTTCAAACTTTGGCTCTGTTGGGTCCAGTGACAGGAACGCTGGCTCGAGTTCTGCACTTTGTATGAAACATGTCCCGTTGAACTTGCTCTGGAACACAGGTGGGTGGAGGAAGAGCGGCCCTCCCTGTGTTTGCGTGGATTCTCCCTGGGTACTCCGGCTTTCTCCCACAGTCCAAAGGAACTCTAAATTGG